TTTTTTTTTTTTTTTTTTTTTTTTTTTTTTTTTTTTTTTTTTTTTTTTTTTACAACAGGGACCTTCTCTGGCCCTTGCTGGCCAGGTCGCACAGGCAACCAAGGTGGACCCAAGCAGCCCGGTTGGTAACACAGACGTACGGTCATTATATCCGCATTTGGCCCAATTTTCAGCCCGGATGCAGCGAAAATGATGGCACGTTCTATTCTAGGGAAGATGGTAGCTGGTATGGTAGGCCCGTTGGATTCCGCCCCCGGTCACGGGAAAGTGACCGTCTTCACCCGAATAGCACGCCTGGTCATCATAGCTGTATTCGGGGCAATCTTCAGTCCAGAGGCCGTGATAATGACAGCGGCGCAGCGCATTCTATTCGGCTGAAGATTGTATAATTGTTAGCGTCTCCCTTTCCTGTTACTAATCCGTACTGACAGGGAAAGTAAGGTTTTTTTTTTTTTTTTTTTTTACAGGAATGAGAAGTTTAAGGGGCCTCCAAGGTCTTGTTGCTGACATGAGTGTAGACTGATCGCCCGGTCACTATAGGTGTATATAGACTGCAAGTTGCCCAAATACAGCTACAATGACAGTAGACATTGTACCTGGTAAAAGACGCTTGTGCCTATTATTATGTTACAATTCTACTATGTGGAACAGAGCTGTAAGAAGTTCGTGTGGCTTCCAGGATCGTTTTGCTCTTTTGCATGTAGAGATTAGGCTTAGGCTCTGTCGTGGGGTTCGATGCTTGTGGCGATATGGTATGTCGTTTCTCGGCGCTTCTAAGTACAAAGTCCTTTTTCGGTTAGATTCCTAACTGATTGACCCCCATAGATGCGAACTTGCTCCTTAGAGTGGAGAAGGTGGAGGGATCAAATCTCGGTTTGCATCGTGCCTGTTGTCATTGTGAGTGCCTGTTAATGACTGCCATGCTTTGGGAACAAGGTCGGGGTCTAGCGCTATGGTAATGCATGCGTGTTCTGTGCGACTTTTCTCGAATAGGAATGTGGAGGCTTAGTCCTGACTCCTGGGTGCTTGAATAGGGATGTGGAGGCTTAGTCCTGACTCCTGGGTGGGGGAATAGGGATTCGTGGCCTTGGACATGTAAGAGTCATACAAAACCCAATTGTCTCGGTAGTTCTTACCGTGCCAAGTTTGATTCTCAGGGAAGTACTTGTGCTTGATTCTTTGCCGACGCCAGGTAGGGTGTCTACGAAAGACCCATGCACGAAGTTGTTGAAATATCCAGAAATCGATACGGTGAAAGATTGCAGAGCATTCCGAAAACTTAAAGTAGTTTCCCCAACCTGAAATCAACGGAACCAAAGCACTGATGAGTCGGTGTACAGCGGAACCTTTGTGAGATTGTATTACAAAACGAGTTTGCGAAAGAAGTGTTTCCTGTGATTTCTTGGACGGAGCAACTCTGCTGACGAGCCCGTGGGATTCAGACGCGAAGCGATGGTGCCTTGCATTCCATTTCTATAGGCCTGGGTGCTCAACTCCATGGGCTTTAGGTCTGTCCTGAAATGCACAAGGGTTCAAACCACTCTTTATTACCGTTGATCCACTTATCATTACTGCGTCGGGGCTTTGCACGGAGGGTGTTTAGAACGGCGTTGAATCTCCCTTGGACCCTTTTCCATGGTTCATAATTACAGCCTGAGGTGAGCCAAACAGTTTCCGAGGGGCTGTGGAAAGATGCTTGGGCGGGCCCGGTTTCGGAGATATATTCTGGGCCTTCTTGCATTGTCATATCAGGATTAAAAAGGGGGAAAAAAAAAACACTTTGCTCTTTGATATTTTGGGAGTGTGTGTGTAGACTATGCTCTGCCAGCCTTGGACCAAATAGGCAAGATGCTTGAGCACGTTCTGTAAACACTATCCGTAGTCACAATGGTACCAAGGGCTAAGCCTGTTCCTGCCAAGACTGGACCTGGAACAGAACCTGTTCCTGCCCAATGTGGACCAAGTAAGGCGGCAAAGTATTTGGTTTGGGGCTCCTTGGTTTGGATGCGATGTAATCGCTACCGCTAGTCACAGTGGTACCATGAGCTGAGCCTGGTCCTGCCAAGACTGGACCTGGAACAGAATATGTTCCTGCCCTATGTGGACCAAGTAAGGCGGCGAAGTATTTGGTTTTGCGCTCCTTGTTTTGGATGCGATGTAAACGCTACCGCTAGTCACAATGGTACCATGAGCTGAGCCTGTTCCTGACAAGACTGGACCTGGAACAGAATCTGTTCCTGCTGGACTTGGACCAATTAAGGCGGCAAAGTGTTTGGTTTTGACTGTTTGGTTCAGATGTGAGGTAAACAGTACCAGCAGTCCCCACAATGGTACCAAGAGCTGAGCCTGTTGCTTGCCACGACTGGACCTGGAACAGAACGTGTTCCTGCTAGGTGGGCAGCAAACCTCTGTATCAGTGTTTGCTGAAATGGAGCCTGTGTAATTGCCCCGGTACATCAAATTGTTCTGTAAAACTCTCAGATGGGACGCTGGGCCCGGTTTGCAGCACGTGCGCCTCCCCATGAATAGATTGGAGCATATTGTTGAGGAAAAAAAAGGGGGTTGGTGCATACCCTCTCAGTACACGACTGGAAGCTTTCGGGAGTATGTACGAACCCTGGTGTTTCTATTGTTTCTATTAGGCATAGAGTTAAAATATTAGGATTCACTGTCAAACGCTTTGGTGTTTCTCTGGAAATCGAGCGTGGTGGCTTAGTACCTGCACCGTGCCCACTGTGGATTAGCTTATCTGCTCATGATCAAACTGTCTGGATGCTTGTGGGTCTTCGAAGGGCTGTAATGTGTGTGCGTATGGTAGGGTGGTATGGGGTGCTTTTTGTGTGAATAAAAACGAAACTGGGCTGTCTCAAAGCCTAACCTGAGAATCACACAAGGGCTGCTCAAATGTGTCTATTCTCTATACTATTGTTAAACCCTAAACCCTTGTCTATATCTATTTTATTGTTAAACCCTAAACCCTTGTCTACACTCTATTCTATTGTTAAACCCTAAACCCTTGTCTATACTCTATTCTCTCTTGTTAAACCCTAAACCCTTCTTTATTCATGCTGATCAAAGCGTTGACCCTCCAGCACTGAGTGCGAAACCTGCATCCTATTATTTTAACTCTAGGCCCAATTGTAACGCCAGGCTCTTCAGGTGCTGAACTTGGAAACAGCATATTTGACAAATGTTAGTTATTAAACCCTTCTCCCTTGCACCGAAGCCCAATCCTAACAGGCGGCCCTGTCTTCAAAGTGAAACCTACATGTGTAAGTTATGCCAGACTTTAAACCCTAAACCCTAACTCTAACCGTCAAGTCAAATATAACAAAACTTAATTACAAGCATTGAAACCTTAACCCAAAACCTACCCAAACCTGAACCCTAAATCCATATCCTAAACCCTGAACCTGAAGTGTGACCAACATCGCTGAGCTATTTCCAGAAACCCTGACCCCAAACCCTAACACCAAACTCTAACCCCAAACTGTATCCCCAAACTGTATCCCCAAACTGTAACCCTCGACTCTAGCCTCAAATATACCCCAAACTCTAACCGTGAACGCTGACCCTAGTAACTCCAAAGTAACCCTAGTAACTCCAAAGTAACTCTAGTAACTCCAAAGTAACCCTAGTAACTCCAAACTAATTCTAGTAACTCCAAACTAACCCTAGTAACTCCAAAGTAACCCTAGTAACTCCAAACTCTAACCCCAAACTCTTAAACCACCAGTACTTACCTTAAACCCTGATTGTAAACGCCAAACCCTAACACAGAACTGTAACCCTAAACTGTAACCATGAACTCTGACCCTAACTCTAAACCCTAAACCCCAAAGTCTGACCTCAAACTCTTAAACCACCAGTATTTCCAGCCCACTTTCCTCCGGGGCTCCAAACGCCCTGCGCGGCAAGTTTTGTCGAACCACGAGCGCGACATGTTTTTTTTTCCCTTTTGGCTGACACGGCCAGCCATTGTGGCCTGGTGCCCCAGAAATCCGGTTGACATGATGCGTTAATGTCAAGAGCCCGCAGCCGATGATGTATGGGCCAAGTACTGCTGGTTTAACGCGAACTCCAACCCCAAATGCCAACCCCAAATAACTTGACCCCAAACCCCAAACTTCAACCTCCAACGCGTAACCAGAAGACTAAATCCTGACCGCCCACTCAACCCTCTCCCTAAGACCTGAACCTTGATACTCCTCGTGTGGAAAACCAAAGACCCGAAAAGCTCACTAAAACTTGTTGTTGATGGCTTTTATCATTTTATGTCATGACTGGAGCTCTGCTACCATCTACGTTGTCTGACCCCTTGGAAGGTATCTTCTTGAGCCAGGTGCATGGAATCCCAAACTTCATGATCTGAGAAATCCAACATAACGCCTCTATTCTGTACACAAGCAACGTGCACTTTTTTTTGCACTTCTACTTTAGGAACATCATAAACACACACACACACACACACACACACACACACACACACACACTCGCAACCTCCTGATGAGTCAGTGCAAGTTCAACAAAACAGTCTGGCACAGTCATCCTTTTTATTGTGGAGTTGTATATTGCGAAACACACACACACACACACACACACACACACACACACACACACACACACACACACACACACATACACATGCACACACACACACTCACCTTTTTTGGGGGCAGGAGGGAGGGGGAGGGGGGGGAGGACTTGTGGGGGCGGAGTTGTGTACATGGAACAATACACACACACACTGTTACATGCTGAAAGCCTACACACGGGCCCCTCACGGGACCCGAGGTTGGAATAGGGCCCCCAGGTCGCGTCACCGCAACCTGAAGGCCCTATGGCATTTTTACTTGGGCCTGCATCAGAAAAACGCCAGCTTTAGATTATTTTTATAGTCTTTATTTTATTTATTTGCTGCTGTTYTTCTAACKGGTGTACTGTTGTCCGTTTTGTGGCCAGGTACACGCTTCTAGGGCCAGGGCCAGATTCAGGCCCAGAGGCTGAGCTCCTAAAAACGTTTGGACCTTTTCTTTTGTTTTCGAACAGATTTTGACCTGTTCGAACCCAGGCSGACGTTGAGGCCGGGTACGTCCGCACAGGACCGRTTTGAAGCCAGGTACCAGGAAGATAAATCCTGGACATGGCCTGGACGTCCGGTAGGGACCCAGGCAGGCCGTTTTAGGCCAAGGACTGAACCAGTTTTCGAAGCCTGCGATCTGGACCG